TTAGATGTTCATCTTGAAGATGCTTCAGGTATAATTGATCCTGCATTGTCGGTAAGGGGATAGACTAAAATTCAGTCGGGGCCAGCCTTTTTGGCAGGAGTAACATAGGATAAGCTCTGTACCCACTTCAAATGCACTCCAGTCCCCTTCCCTGCCTTATCTGTTGCTGTTCCCTTCTCCATCACCTACCAGATGCATACCACACAGTGGTTATCTATGCCACAAGCTATGGGTTGACTATCTTTGGGCTAACTGATCTCTGAACAGATCTGCCTAGGGCTTGGCAGGCATAAATAAACAAGACCGCATAAAGTTAAGTCTGAAAACATTATTTCTCAATTAGAAAAAAAAAAAGAAGAAAAAATTACTTCCACGTATAGCCTTCTACATAGCAATTATGCTAGGCTTGTGACATTATTGTCAGTTGCTGTTGAAGGATTTGTGGGGTGAGAGAAGCCACCTGCGCGTGCACACACACGCACACCCCCCACCCCCACCCCCACACATGCGTTGAAATGCAGACACCTGTTCTAACTAGCCAGTGGGGGATAAAGTGCTATCATAGTAGTGCAATACGAAGAGCAGCTAATGGACTTGTGTATCAGCACCATTCCTAATTGTCTGCACTGACGGACGGTATCATGAGGAGGATGGAGCACATTTTCAATGAGTTGTCTCATAGTTTTGAAAATGTATTATATTGTAAAACAGTTTTCAGTATCTTTTAAGTCAAAGAAAATTAGCATTTAATAGTATATCTTTAGATGTCCACGCACGGCCCTACTATATTTTCATTTTATAGGTATTTTCAACTAGATGCACGCTCTGAAATGAAAACCAGCCTGTCTAAAATACGGCTCGTCATCTGCGTCTCACCTCTTGGTAACACGTGGGGATTGGGAGGAGGAAATCTCTGCAACCTGAAGAACGCGACTCATTTTCCCTTCAGAGAAGCCAGTTTTCGTCTGTGTAAGTAGCTGAAACAAATGACTAATTCTGAATTCACAGCGTGTTTGATATCGGCTGTTCCAATGAGCGTGCTCTCGGGCCCAGTGGTATTTAAAACAAAGCACCCTACAATTTCTATTGGCGAGTGAGAAGAATACAGTGCAGTTATGCAGAATACCATATGCATTTTTATCTGGAACACTGTTGAGCTGGATAAGACATGTAAGAGCGCAATTTGGGCTTATCCTTGATTTCCTAAACAACAAAAAAGCCCTAGACTCTAGCCTTTTTCCTTGTGGCAAAAGCTTGGAAACTCTATATCAATAGGAAGCAAATTAACCATGTCCTGCAGCTGAAGGGGAGAGATGCATGGCACCCCATGCTCCTTATATAAAATGAGCATGTTAAGGGGGTGTCCCGCAGAATACATTTTGACCCCTCACGTCTCTTGGGCACAGCCAGCCCCTAGCTAAGCAAGGGGCAATAGGGGTAGATATAGGAGAAATACTTTTTTTTCTCAGGCCAACCTGCAGGTGCCAAGGGAGGCTCTAGGAGCAGAGCCCGCCCTTGGCACCTGCTTGAGGAGGACCTGAGCTGCCTTCTGCAGGCTCAATTCTTATGCAGCAAGAGCATTTGCCCCTGTTGCAAGAAGAGCTGGAGGGGAGGCTCCTCTCTCCTTTTCTCACAAGTGCTCTTACGCATCCGTGAGGCACACATTCTGCTTCCCCCAGATCCTTGCCACTGCTCCAGCATGAGGGTGTAAGGAGAAGGTGCAGACCCAGGTGCTGTTTGCACCCAACACCTATAAGCTCAGGCCCAGAACATGGAGATCTCGATTTTCCCCTGCCTTTCCTTTCCTCACCATCTACATCTAAATTAAAGCTCCTGCCTGTCTCAACTCCCTCTGGAAGGACTGACCACGCATTTGGCATAGTTTCTATGAGACGTTGGGCAAAGATGAGTATGGTTCATTGAGAAGCACAAGGCCAGGGATGTCAGCCGAAGGACTGATGGGATTGCGGGGGTGATGCTAAAATTGGATTGCGTAGGCAGACCAGGAGGAACCGTTTGACCGAGGGACTGTTGCGTATATCATGGGCTGAGATGGCCAACTATTTCTGCATTCTGGCAGCACGTCCCTTACCTTGAAATCATAGGCGAAAAGCCAATATGCTGATACTGTTGGTATTTCACTCTCATTGACTTTGACATTCTTGGGTGTGACTTGCTAGAATTAATCACCGATAAAATACAAAATACGTCTATCTTTTGGGGCCCGATCCTGCCCCACTGAACTTGGTGGCAAAGACTTCAGTAGGAACAGGATTGAGACCTGGATAGTTCCTTTAAAGAATGTCACTTCACAATAAATACAAAGTTTTGGAAACTTCTGGGCTGGATTATATTAAATAGTCACTGGCATGTTATGGGATTTCAGGGGCCCCTTAGAGATGTCTGTTTGCAGGTTTGAAAGGGTGATGTTTTCATAAGCTTCCTGAGATGCCAAGCATCTGCAGTGGTGAATTAACACTCTTAAATCCTTCTGGAAATTCTTGTTAAGAAATCCATAAAAGATGGGGTTGATGCAGGTTGAGATCATGGCTACTAAGTGGCATAATGTAAACACTAGATTATGGTGGCAGTTCATCAAGGCCTCATAATTCCAGTCAAAAACAACGTTAAATATATTCAGAGGCAACCAGCAAGCAGCAAAGGTCATGACAATTGAAATCAGCATCATGTTAATCCTTCTGTTCTCATTTAGTCTGCTCTCATTCTCCCTCATCCTATCCACTTCGTGTCTCCGTCGGAGACATACAGAGATCTTGAGATAACAGATAAAAATAAAACCCAGTGGGAAGCAGTACTGGAAAACCAGGAGACTGGTGGTGAAAATCAGTCGCTCTGTAACGGATGGCCATGTCTCAATGCAAACAACTTTGTTCTTGTAGAAATCTCCATGGAGAGAGAGATTTTCAAAGGGTTCATCAGTCAATTGATGAAATATGAAAAAAGGAATGGATATGATGAGGGCAAAACCCCAAATTAAGATAATTCCCCAGTAAGCATGTGAAATATTAGGCTTCCAGCCACGGGGATTTACTATTAGCTGGTATCTCTCAACAGCAATTAGCACAAGTGAGAATATAGAGACTGTGATAGACATGCTTTGTACAAACGAGCTTATTTTACACATGGCTTCGCCAAAAATCCAGTAGTCCATCAAAGCGTATGCAACAGTGACAGGAATGCACATGATGCATATCATGACGTCCGATAAGGAGAGATTGGCAATCAGAATATTTGTAACATTTTGAGCTTCTTTCTGTCTTTTTATTATAATAATCAGGCAAAGGTTTCCAAAAAGCCCTACTATGGTAACTACGGTGTAAGCTGTGATGAGCAAGAAGACCGCAGGGAAAGAAAGCTGACACGACTCAAAGTCTGAGAACTGTGAGTTGCTTCTATTTACAACGGTTCGATTAGACAAACCCACGCTGGGATGCTGAATTATTTTATCCATCATCAAGGAACTCTGAAATCATGGGTACAATTTTAGGATGGGGAGTTTTTTTGTTCGCCTTAATTATTTAGAAGATATTTGCTTGGAGCCTCCCAAAGGCTTAATAGGGTCCAATTTTATATTGATCTTCACGAAGCTGTATTTGGACAGATTTATAGACGTACTTACAGTATTGATGAATTCTGAAAATAGGAGCAAAGGGGACAGCATTAATGGTCAGGTCTCTTGTAAAACAGATTTCATTGTTTTTGTGAGATTTCTGCACCCGCTGTCTCCAAGATTTGACAGATTTTTTTTCACAGACTACAGCATATTTGCTGTATGAAGCTGCCTAATGGTTTTCACTCAAAGCCTCTTATTTCTGTTGTGGATAACTTTCACCTCCTGGGATGAAACAGTCTAGGCTCTGTCAGTGGCTAAAGGTGTGCGCTTTTGGAATATTTGACCAAAAATGGCTCAGCCATTATTGGGAAACTAAGGAATCCTGTTTCTATAATGAAAAGAGCTAAATTTAGGCCTGACACCCATTTCTTCTTCCACTCTACGAGGTGATAGTGTGCTGAAACTCTGACCACTTGCTACAGTCATACACAGTCCATTACATTTGGGCAGAATGAACTTAAAAAAAGATCATGCAGACAAAGTGAAGGAACGCACGCGGCCAGGCACGCTAAGCACTCTACAAGATGCAGTGTCCTGTCCTCGGATACCATTGCCATGACTTCTGCAGGATATGGACCTCATAATAGTGGGGAAATAACAGACTAGGGTACAACAGCAGGATACTTTGCTTTCCGTCTTGGAGACAGCATCTTTGTCATGTGTGCAAGTATCTTCATGTGGGATCTAGCCTCAGGTTCGCTCTCCTTTGCATACATACAAAGGAATCTGAAGTGCAATAGCTTATCTCTAGAAACAAAGACCTGCTCTTTCTCTGACTTCCTTCGGATTTACATGTGTAAAACATATATCTGTTGACATCATTAGAAACCTGTAAAACTATTGCAAATGCGAATAGATCTGGGTCAGCAGTAAGAAATAGATGGTGGTGAATTTAAGGTAGCAGTGAGTTGTAAAATGAACTTTAAGGCAAAGGCTTGAAAAATTTTCATAGATTCATAGATGTAGGGTCGGAAGGGACCTTGTAGATCTTCTAGGCCGACCCCCTGCCCGGGGGGCAGGGAGATGGCATAGCATTTCAAACCTGAAAAGGTAAAGGACCCACATAGCTGCTTGTTCATCCTTTTTACTTTTTAAAAACTGTTTAGCATCGCATTTAACATCCCTTTTAAGGCACGACAAATGTGACTCACCTTAATCCTGTGTCTGTGTAGTTATAAGAAACTAGAAGCAGGTTCTTCTTTACCCCTAGAAATAAACATTACACTGTGACAGCCCTGTGAAGAAGCCAGGAAAAGGAAGCAATATAAGTTTTAAGAAAAAACACAAATAAAAGAAAATTCATCACTGTGATGAACACTTTGTACTTGCATGGCATCTCTGTCAAACATTTTACAGAAAAAGTTTTTAGCATGACTAGGTCAATGAGGCACAGCTCTGTTCAGTGGTTTGAATGTAGTTGCACAACAAGTTCATGACTGAACTGAGGACCTGTACCTAGATTTTTATGACTCCCAGATCTGTATTCATCTTGATCAAAACAAAAAAAAATCCTCATCTGAAATTCCACCTTGGGTGGCTTCCTTCTGCTGCAGCTGTTTGCAGTTTGCCCTGCCATTCCAGATCAAGAAACTGTGTCTAAGGAATCTGTGAAAGAAGTGATTGCAAGCAGGAATAAATCGCCCTGAGCATGATAAAAAGAAAGGTCTGGCTCAGTTATGCTAGAATGGGGAATGGCTTTTTCCCTGTTACTTTTCTGTGATCCTGTTGATCCAAATGTGATCCAAACACTCAGCCTCACATCCAACCTAAAGAAACAGACTTGATCTTGTACAGATATATATGTGAGGGAGTGGAAAAGGGACTTGCAAAGCCACTCCTGGCATGTTGGTGCAATCTAAAGGCTGAAACAGCCTGCTTGGTCCCTCGCATGTACCATACAGTCGGGGGACAGAACAGGTGGCAAGAGTACCCCGCACCTCAACTAGTCCTCTCATCTGTTATGGGCCTGAAAAACACTGCCACTCGGGTATTTCTGTGGGCGCTGAAGGAGCTGGTACTTGGCAGGTCAGGCCATTTGTGAACAGGCGACATAGCTGGGGCATGAAGCAGCTGGTGTGACGTAGCGAGCTGGAGGATGAACAGCAGTTAAATGCAACATATCCCTGGACTCCACCATCAGCTACTGCTGGTCTGAGAGGCAATAACTGTCCTGCTGCACTTGTGCTACACAGTAGGATGCATGTGCTGAAAAGACAGGGAGTCCCTGCTAGTGCAGGGATGTCCATGGATCCAGAGTCCAGCTCTGTAGAAAGGCTGTTGTCCAGGAGGAGATTCTCTGTTCATCCGGCCTCTCCTACTTGCTCTGATCACTCTGCTGGCCTGCCCCATGCACATCCAAACCTTTACCTCCTGGAGAAAACCAGGTGGTGAAGTAGGATCTAGCTAGGAGCCATGCAACTTGCCAGAAAAATCCTGCCTTCTCTGCTAGTGTGTGTGTGTGTGTGTGTGTGTGTGTGTGTGTGTGTGTGTGTGTGTG